ATGGAGGTTTTAGTGTGTACTTGACCAAGTACACACTACCTCCTGCATACTTGACCAAGTACACACTATCTCCTACATACTTGCCAAGTACACAGAATTTCCAACATACATGTAGGTATGCAGGAGATACTGCATTCAAGTACACACTTGGGTTTCCAGAGTATAAGTCCTAAGACCAGAGCTCAGGAACCGAGCCAAATCTGCCTCGGTAAGAACCAAATGTAAGGAAAACAAGGAAGGCGTAGCCCATACAAAATGAATTTCGTGCGAAGGAATAAAATCTTGTATTCTTTAAAATCCTAAAATCTTTAATTATCGCCCGTATTGTGGTGGGGTCATCCAGAAAAACGCCTGTCATCTACCGTTACAAAATACGCAAGTTAAGCAAATGCATGGTCTCATGGCGCCTGCTAGGTAGGCAACGTCCTGCCTCCAGTGCACGCGTGTACTGCGGGATGGCCTACCCTTAGTCTTGCAGGCGCCGAGCTCTCGCTTTTTGCCGAATGGTCGAATGAATCAGAGGAACGGGTGTACTTTTTAGACGATCCTTTAGATGAACAAGTATTGTTCTCAGACGTCGGTGTCAGCGTCCCCACACTTACACACACGGCTCGGGTAAACGAGAACTTAAGTTGTGACTTATTTCCGACCCTCCATCCATGTCGCCCAAACTAATGGTCGTAGACCAAAATTAATAATATTTTGTATCATCCGCCGGATAAAAAACGTTGTTCAGTTCTTGCGCACAGTGCTACTCCAGCTACATTCGATTTCAGCTCTCTCCTGAGAGCGAGGCGAATTCTGTCTGTACTTCATAAAAGACAACAGAAAGTCAGAAAGATTAGTTATGCAGGAATCCTTTGGATACACCCGTGAGGTGTGGGCTGCATCCGGTTACATCTTCACTGAAAACCTTTGAGTGAGGTGTCGTGCTCCAAATGAGTGAGACAATTTTGCCTTGCTCAATCCGAGCGACGGCTATAAGTCTCCCCCTATTTGAGTCATATGCACAGAATTCTCACTCTGGAAGAGTAAAGATTTCTCGGACCTCCCATTGGGTGAGGACCGCAAATTATAACTCAAATTGAGTGAGAGTCAGATATCTCGGTCTCAGGGGAGTAATATTTTTTGTGTCACTGATCTCGCTCTCCTGAGAGTAAGGTATCTTAGTCTAGCATTTTCAATGTTTTTCCTGCCTACCGGTCAACACCTGAGCACTGTGTGAATATATGGGCAAACTGCAGCCCACAGCACAGGGTGTATTCGAGGGATTTTTGATTAACTTTTCTCACAACACTACAACAGCTACAGCATGAAAGAAAACGCTGGTAGAGCGAAAAGAAAACAGTCAAGAATTTGAAGGACCTACGTAAACGTCTAAGCACACTAAATGTGAGGGAATTATTACTGTTCATAGAAAGATGCAGTTTTAGGTCCATCTTCTTGACCAGATGCATTTCAGCAGCTGGCATGGGACAGATTTCAAGTAACAGTCGCTGAAATGCGTCTGATTAAGAAATGCCTATTGTAAAGGATATTTTCGTCTTTTAAAAGGCCCTTTAAGATTTAGCGCTAAATCTTTAAACTTTATGGGCGGCCAACGACTCCAGGGCTGGGTAGCTAGCACCCAGCCATCACCCCGAGGAAGAAGACGAACCCCCGAACCCCCGAACAGCTGAACCGCTGAACCGCTGACAGGCCGGAGACAGCGGAGGCGGCGGGGGTGGCAGAGGAGCCGCGCGGATTGGATGAGGGTTCGTTTTACAGCTGACTGCGCCCGCCAAGCACAGGGGACAGCGGCGCCTTCCCTCCCCGCCCACGGGCTCCCCCGCCTGCCCACCCCACCCCGCACCACCACACCGGGGGCCCCAGCTGCGCCGTCCGCCAAGGCTCCAACGATTCGCATCAGTCGCACTTTTATCAAAGCCCCCACCCCCAACAAGCCTCCGAGCCAGCCAATGGCGAAAAGTTTCCCCTGTGTCTGTCCCCTTCCCCGCGCGCATCGGCCTCTATGTGTCCGTGTCGCGGTGCGAACAGGCATAGCACACCACTGTCTCTAAATTGCAACTCGATGGCAACTTGGCCAATTCTAAAGGCAATTTCAGGGAAGTGCACTGTAAATTGCTTACGGACAACAGGTCGTATTGCAAACCACGACCCTTGTAGCTTGCTAAGAATTTTGAAGCGATATATATGATGAATTCATTGTTCGCTAGCTTACGAACATAAAAAGTTTGTAATGCAAACCGATTGTTCGTAAGAACCTTACTGGCCGTACAAACAATTTCTGTGCAATACAAAGAATGAACATTGTTCGTAACGTTACAAAGCACTCAGTTTGTAAACTTTTTACAGTGATTGGGTGAGGGTTTGTCCGAGGGTTTGTCATGGTTCGGGAGCAGATACTACTATTACTCGTCTTTTCCTCTTTCGTGTAAAGAATGCCTCAGTTTGAAGCGAAGACAAGGGATAGGTTTTTGTCGACCCGCATCTCATTCACACCCAACAAACACGACGTTTCCCTGCACTCCGAGCCGCACTCGCCTCCATCGACGACGCAAGCGTACAGAGACAGCAGAGGACTGGGTCCTGTCGCCGGGCGGCAGAGCAGCAGAGCACGTCAAAGTTGCGTCTGCTCTGTACGCACGGGTTCTTGGACAGTCTCCAAACAGCCGACCAGTCGCTGGACCAATGGCTTTTCATGCCCCGTTAACTTCAATACTCAATTTTCTGAGCGATCAGAGGGAACGGCTCGCAACTGCAGCTTCGCATTGCGTCAGATTGTGCGCCAAGAGAGCCTCGGCAAAGGGGATCCAGGAAGTTCTAGAAATGATCGGGAGGGAGAGACCCGTTCGACGAGTTGAATGATAATAAACGTTCACTTACATGACAATAATAATCTATATCTAGACAATAAAATCAAGAAGCACTCAAAACAGCGATCGGATAGGAAAACAGATGATTCAGACGAAGTTAGTTGCAGAACAGGTTCATATTCACAGCAACTTATTTTGGCAAAAACTTAGCCTACAGGGTTAAGAAAGAGACAGTCCCCTCGACCAGGCCACAAAACCTAAGCGCAGTGTGGTGTGGTGTGGCGGGGCCTGGTTTGCTCCACGCACCCCATTTGCAGATCCCGTGTGTGCGTATGCGGGCCGTCTGCCCGGGCCGGCCCGGCGCGAAGCAAAAGGCGGCGGGAAATAATGGGAATCGCTTAGTAACAATGCCACGTATGTAATAGGACGCCTGGAAACGGGAAGGAAATTCGAGTCAACATAATCGCCCTCGCCTAGACCACAAACCAAGTGCTACATGCCAGGTGGCTGATTAACCCCGCGCACTTCTGTAGTTAGACTGTACCGAACGCACGAGTGCGGGTGGGTTGCCTACTCGCCCGACCCGTAAGGCGCCGTGGACAGGGGCGATAGGCAAGCCCACCCGCACTCCTGCGTGCGGTACAGTCTAACTACAGAAATGCGCGGGGTTAATCAGCCACCTGGCATGTTTCAATAGTAAAACTATACCCGCTATTACGTATCATATGCTAAAGTTTCTGACATGTAAGAGGATGGTTCGGGTAGGGAAACGAACAGTACTGGCCTGGCTGACCTGCGGGTTGCGGCCCCCGGCGGTCTCGGCCGGGGTCGTGGTGGGCAGCGGCGAACCCTTCCGCGGTAGTTGCCATGCGCGTCGTCCGACAGCCTGGACACGCTGATACGGGCGTGGCGCGGAGGCGCACGGCGTACGGCGCACCGTGCAGTACGAGAGTACAGTACGGCGCGCGGGCACTCGAGTGCATTCGAGTGCGTTGGACATGGACACCGGAGACCTGGGGGTGTGGCTCGATTGTGCACCCGACCGACGGCGACGTCTTATAAAAGCAGCGCGCGCCGACCCATCCGACATCAGTCATCACCTGCTCCCACAGCAAGAAGACAGCCACCCCAGCAACAGCAACCATGAAGGTCCTGGTGAGTGTTTACGGCAGGGAGGACCCCGATGTGGACAACACCTCGGCGTCGACCTGATCCGGCAGTGTCTTGAAGAGTGCCTCCTATGACCGATCTAGTCCCGAGCTCCAGTGTCTAACGCTTCGCCCCTCTGTGCAGATCCTCGCCGCCCTGCTCGCCGTCGCCGCCGCCAGCCCCGCACCCAGACCCAGCGGCTGGGGTAGCAGCGGCTGGGGAGACCTCGGCTGGGGTGGAGTAGCCGTCGCGCCGTCTCACGTCGCCGTCGCCCCGTTGGCCGTTTCCCCCGTCGGCGTCGGCCACCTCGGCTCTGTTGTCAGCACCGTCGACGTGGTCGGACACGGAGGCTGGGGCGTCCCCAGCGTTCATGGAGTCCATGGTGTCCACGGTGGCTGGTAAACGACTTCAACGAATGTAGGCCAACAGAACCTGCAGAGCTCGACTTCACCTCTTGATTTTGATGTACCAATCGAATAAAATTCTGAAACTTTCATCTCGGCAAACAAGCGTTTTGATTTTAACATCATGTTGAGTCACACATAATACTTCATGAATTTTAGATCAGCGATGAAACTGTGATACGGAAGAACACGCAACTAACTATCGATTTTACAATCCATTTTTACACATATAAAAACGTAGCCTTACCCGGCGGGTATAACATCAGAGGGGGAAGAAAATACTCGCCACCGCTCTCTGCTCCAACAGTCCATTTCATAGTGGGAGAATTAAAGAAGGGAAGAATTCCAAGCCAAACCAGAAGTGTGGCGTCTTCAGCCCCAACCCCCTCTTTCCCGTCCCACCCTCTCGTTCCCTTCTAGTCTCTCGCTCTACTGTTTTTTCTCGATTATGACTGTTTTTGTTTTTGATTTATTTTTTTTTGCTGTGGTATATTGTCTCCAGTCTGGCCAAGCGCGAGACATGAGACACTTACTTCCCTTCCTATCCGAAACTGCACCTTACTAGGAATAACACTCGACTGACCTAGGAGGATTAAACTTGGCAAGAAAATGAAAACACGTTACCAACCAATTATTGTCTCGAAAGATTATCGTCTTTATTGTCAATCACATTCTTACAACTTCAGTGGGCGCTCAGGGTGCGGATGTCGATGCCGGCCAGGTTGATGCCCTGTGGGATGCCCAGGATGGTGGTCGCGGGCGCGGGGGCCGCCACCAGAGTGGCTGCGGGAGCGGCGGCGACCAGCTTGACGGCGGGAGCAGCGGCCACGAGCGTGGCGGGGGCCTGAGCGGGCGCCACCAGGGTGACGGGGGCCGGGGCCGGGGCCACGAGCGTCGCTGGAGCGGCTTGGGGCCCAACGATGTTCACAGGCGCCTCCTGGGGCCCGACGATGGTCGCGCTGCTGGCTGTCGGGCCGGCCACAACGACGGGGGGCGAGACCGGGCCAGCCACCACGGTCGTAGGGGCCGCGACCGCGGCAGGGGCGACGATGGCGGTGGCTGCGGGGGCGGGCCCGGCGACGAGAGCGGGGGCGGCCTGGGGGCCGATAATCGTGGCAGAGGCAGCTCGAGGGCCAGCGATGAGGGTCGTGGGGGCGGCGGCGATGGCGGGGGCGGCGACCAGGGCGGCCGGGGCCTGGGGCGCGATGATGGTGGCGCCGAGTGTGGCGGGCGCGGCGATGACGGTGGTGGCCGCGGGGGCGGGGCTCTGCACCAGGGTCAGCCCAGCCAGCCTCAGGCCGCTAGGGGCGCCGCTCGCCAGGGCCGCGACGGCGACCACCACGCACTACAACACGCCGGACCGCGCCGTCAGCAGGGCGCTGCACCATCGGTATGTTCCACCCCGCCGTGCTACCACCGTGACTACTCACCACGATCCTCAGCATGACTTGACCGGTTGCTGCTGCTGCTGCTGCGTGTCGAGATGCGTGTCACTGTTCAACTGCACTTCGCCTTTCTACCATTTATATACGCCGGTGCAGCGAGCCACCAGCAGCTCGACGGGCAGGAGCACGCGGTGCGCCCGTGACGCCCCGGCGCGGCGCGCCAGCCAACCCCTGCGCAGCCCCGCCCCGCCCCGCCCCGCCACGCCACGCACCCCACGCGTGGCGCCGCCCCGTGCGTCGCGCTCCGCCGGCCCGTTTGATCCGCCTGGCCTTGTCTTTGACGCCGTGCCGAGCGCGATCACCTTGCTGTCTTAGCCGCCGCCGCCTCATCGCAGCTGCCGGGACTCCCACCTGCAGCTGCCGGTCGCGGCCCCCGCCTGCCACGCACCCGCCTTGCAGGTATGCAACTCAACCGGCTCTGCGGCAGGCGCGCCTGGGCAGCAGACCACCCACACGGCCGCACACGGCACCCACCCAAGGGAGCACCTGAGCGGGAGTTGTGCATTCCGGTCGTAAGGTCAAGTCCATGGTCGAGTCGACAATTACGATTTTCTTTTGTCGCCATCTCTCTCACTATCTGTATGACCTTTCGCTCTGTGTGTATTACTGTCTATGTCTGTCTCTGTTCCTCTTTCTCTGCTTTCTCTGCCAGGTGGTGGATTAACCTTGCTGATTTCTGTAGTTATGCTGCACCGCACCCACGAGTGCGGGCGGGTTTGCCTATCGTCCGTGACTACGGCGCCTTACGAGCCATACGAGTAGGCAGCCCGCCCGCACTCGTGCGTGCGGTACAGCAAGCATAACTACAGAAGTAAGCAGGGTTAATCAGCCACCTGGTGCAGGCCCTTCCTTTATTTTGCTTAAACTGTAACGGATGCAGGCGTGTGGCAAACAATCGACGGTCGGGGTCATCAGGCACCGCGGTGGGCAAACCCGTCCGCAATCCTGCATGCGCCGTGCAGTATAAGCAAAAGAAAGGAAGGAGTCTGTGGACCAGCCCGTGTATGTGTGTGCTAGCTTTTTGGCGGGTTTATTGGCTGAGCGATTAGCGAAGCCCATTACTCCACTGACCCGAAAAGTTTCATTCTGTTTGTGTGTTTGTGTGTTTGTGTGTTTGTTTGTCTGTCTGTCCGCACGATAACTCGAGAAGGAATTGAGATAGCGATCTGGGAATTTCAGGGTCGTTTTGATTCATAAAAAGACAGATCGAGTTCGAAGATGAGAGCACAAAAATTGACTTTAAAAAAAATCAAAAACCACAAGCCGCAAAATTATTTTTTTCCAAATATTTTTTTATGTGTTCCTAAGGGGTAACTCGTCAAAATAGGTCCCTTAGAACAAAAATTTCGTCCGTTTTGCTCTATCTTGTAACGTTTGGGTGCTAGGGGGCATTTCTTGGCGAAAATGTGGTGAAAATGGCCAAATGGTCTATTAAATCGTTTAAAAAAGGAATTAAAATCGAGAAATTGTACATACACTCCTATTAACTTGTCTCGGGTGTCAGCGCCGCAGGCCTAGCTATGTGTGCGCCAGGCGCGTCGCAGCGTAACAGTGTTTCGTGAGATATCGCGAAGCCTGTTACGCGAGACGTGGTCTGGCGTACATATAGCTAGTTTTAAATATAGACATGGATCTCAATAAGCCATTTCCTCGCCGCTTGGTTGTTTCGTTGGAGGTCGGAGGGGTATGTTTTGTCCTTTGTAGCCTCTGCAATATGTTTCCACATCCTTAATCCAAGTTCCCCATTGTTGACCTTCAGTCACTTTTTACTTGCCATTTCCAGGGTGACTTACCATCTAACCATTTATAGGTGTCCTAGTGTTCTAGCGTCCAAATTCAAAGTTTTCCTCCTTTTCTCTGACGGCCATCTCCGTGTCCGGGGTCCTTTGTGGCTCCCCAGCGTTGAAGTCCCCTGGATGCTGCTAGATGCGCGGCTGGCGGCGGCCTTGCCTGGCCTTGGCGCCCGCAGCGAGCATTCCACGACGGCTCTCGGGACTCGGGAGACTTCCGAACAGATGATGAGGTCATGACGTCACGAGTGTGACGTGACACGGACGGTGTTGGGTCTAGAGATTTTTTGGCCGTTGTTTACAAACCCGGGGATAAAGCGTAGACTCGAACCTCGAGTCAGTACGGCGTGGAACGCTATAATTAGCGTACTAGCCCGGCAGTGGTTGGGGCACATTGATTGAGCGAGTGACGGGACGCCTTTCCCTTCTCCGCCGCACCGCCGGCGGACCGTTCGCTTCATCCGCGCGGTGCAACTGCAGGTGCGGCTCGACGCCCGTGGAGAGGGAGAGGTGTCCAACAGAACAATACTTAATGGAGGCGACGGCAGAACCCTGCCTGCATTGGGTGGGAGTCCAGGCGTCCGAAAACGTAAGGTTTCTGCTGTAGAGTTCTAGGCGACAAAGCAATACTCCCAATGATGTCTGTCCGAGACATTTATTCTTTCCAACATACATCCTCGGATGAGCGAGGAGCCACTGTTTATTTTTTCAAAAGACTAGGACATGGTTTTGCTTTGAGTCTGAATCATACGCCTCTATTTTGGGATGGGGGGCGGTTTCTACCAATGATGGAGACCATGGCCGACGGCGATGCTGCCCGCGAGGCCGGAGTGCTCGGAGATGACGCCAGCGGGGCCGGCGATGAGGGCGCTGTGGGGGCCAGCGGCGATGAGGCCGGCGCCGTGCACGCCGTGGCCGCCCAGGACTCCGCCGTAGATGGCGGGGGCGGCGATGACGGCGGGGCCGTGGACGGCGGGGGCCGCGACCACGACGGCGGGTGACGGGTGGGTCTGCACCAGGCTGCTGTGCGACACGGCCACGGGGGCGGCGGCCAGAGCCACGGCGTGCGGGGCGGCGACGAGGCCGCCGTGGCCCAGGCCCAGGACACCGCCGACCGGCCAGCCGCTGGGGGCGGCCAGGGCGGCGGGGGCGAGGACGGCCACCACGGCCAACACGATCTGCGAGAGAGCGGGGGGCTTAGTGGAGCGGCACAGCTAGCTCATCGCCTAGCGGCGCCCGATCAATCCACACAAAGGTATGAGGCCGTTTCTGGACCAATCAAACTGTTCTTCACCCAAACATGTGCATAAGTGATGAGCTTAACCCAAGATGATTTTCATTGCATCATTGCCACGGTAGATTTCAACCAAGTAGTATGGTCGTGGAAGAAGTACAAAGTTCAAGTACAGGTTCAAATAAGTCAGAAACATTTCGCTTGATACAAAAACAGACCTATCTGGGTGCATCATGCAGCCACGGACTGAGGGTCCAGCAGGAGCCTACCTGGGAAACTACTATCGCGAGTGCCCCCCAAATTTCGTACTTACAGGGGGGTTTCAGGGGCAAGAGCACCTCTAAAGATACCTTTACGTGGCGTTTTCCCAGGTGGCCCATTCCGGGCAAGTCCGTAGCCGCACTTCGCGATGCCCCCGATTTGGGAATCGGACTGGGCTTTGGATTAGCAAACGCACACAAAAAGAAGTTGCGCCACTTGGCGCCACGGCGGACGCACGTTTCCGAGCACGCTCGCTCACTCTCACACACGCACGCACGAATTGAACAAAAAAACAATGGGAGACGCACTGCACAAGCAGCCTGGCCCAGGCTGCGCCGTGCTGCGCCGTCGCCACCTTCTGGCCGGTGTCCAGCTCGTACGTCACTCGGTGTCTGCTTCGGTGCGCGGCGCGCGGCGCGATGACGGGCAGAGATTCGTCCCAAAACGTCAAACTGGCGAACTTGTGATGAAAAATTGACGTTTTGGGGTCCAAAAACACGTCAGAGTGATGCCAAATTTCGTTATTTTGACGTTTTGTCACGAATCTCTGTTGTTAGGGAGCTTGGGGGGTCGGGTCCGGGGGGCACGCATTGCGACTCACCATCGAGTTCATGATGCTGGTAAAGGGTTGTCGAAGTGTTGGCCGAGGTCTGCCGGAGGTGCTGGTCCAGCCTGCATCCGCACCCAGCCTTATATACTGCCTTGCTGCACGCCGATAGACAACAGAGCAACGGAGCAGCGCATGGGGGCAGGGGCGGACACAGGAAGAGGGGGCGAGGAGGGGGGCGGCTCGTAGGGGGCTCGCCCAGCCCGACCGCAAGCTCAGCGTAGAGAAGTAACGTGGACGTGGAAGCTGCCACACCCCTCGGCAGCAACAATAACAACAACAGTAACCAGGAGGCGAGAGGAGAGGCGTGGTCGCCGCACCTGGCAGAGGGGGTACAGGGTTGCCCGCCAGGCCCCGCCACACCACACCACACGGCTAAACGACGCTATCAGTGGCGCACCACTGACCCGTCCGTCAGGTCCTAGGCAACCCGTGCCTCAAGAGCAGCTCGCGGACGCACGGGTGTCGATCGCGAATCGGGTAGGGCACCTCCCCTCGCCTCCATACTCGAGCATGAGTCCGGCTTTCCGTAGCGACAGAACTTTATCGAACGACACCGAGATCGCTGACCAAGCTCTCGTTTGGTCAACCCGTGCCCCAGCCGCACGCAGAGCCCACCTCCAGGACGGGGGCGTGGGCGGGTGCGAGGCGCGCTCTGACCTGCTTCACAGTCGGCTGCCCCAGTCGGCGAGGCGGGACGTGGTTGGCACGGCGGGACTTGGCACTTGCGTTCTGTCCCCCGAGGCGCCACACCGTGCGTGTAGCAAAGAGAGAGAGAGACGTACAGTATCATACACACACAAAACAGATTTTTGGCGACCGTGGCTAACGACCAGATGATTGGCGCTTGCACACGTTCGGATCTGTTTCATACGGGCTGATCCGCTTTGCCCCCCTCCCACTCTGACTTGGCCACTCTTTACCAAACCTTTGAAAGCCGATGCGTCGCTCCAAGGTAACGTCCGTGGGGGTGGGGCGGGAGGGGCATGGCGAGGAAAGCCGTCGAGCGAGTCTACGACGGTCTAGGACCCCGGGGAAGGGGAGAGGAGAGGGGATGACGCGAACTGAGCTAAGGAAAGCTGAGGCCGGGTTGCAGCCAAAATTGTCGCGCTACACTGCCGAAACGTCCCCATCCGCCATCCGCGAGGAGGCCTCCAGAAAAAAAAGCATGTTCACAGACAGACATAAAAGATCAGGGAAACTGAATGAACTAATTTTGTGCATAGCGTACGTAGGTGCATGCATGCGTAGCTTAAGTAAAATTTCTTGCAAATTATTGCATAATTCTGTAAAAATTTGTACCGACGTCTGAATTGTGTACGTAAGTCATGCATGCACATAGACCAACGTAACTCTATAAAATATCACATTAGCATTTAGTGTGCGCGGACGCGCGCTCACAGTCAGCGGACTTGCGCGGCCGGTTGCCTACTACCCCCAGAGTGGCAGGCGTGCTGCCGTGCTTGTACGTGTCATTTCCGCAGGGTCATCCGAGGTCTCCGATCCCCAATAGAGTTCCGTGCCCGAGGTGTCTGCGGCCTACGCGAACGGAAGGACAAAACCGCGAACCTCGTCTGCCGTGCTTCCTTCCTTCCTTGAGCAGGAGCAGCTCGCTATGGCGTATGGCTTTGCGCTGGGACCGCGGCTCAAAAGCACTGTGCAGCGCGCCAGCGCGCCTCCGGCACCTCCCTCGTCAGAACCGCGCCACGCTCTTTCATTTTGAAACTGCCGCGCACGCCTGCGCCGATAAACAGTCTGGTCGGGGCCTGGGTCGAGGACTGGCCTGGTGATGGCTGATTGATCGCGGACTACTACTTGACGTGACGAAATACCGAGTAAAGCTGAGGCGGATCTTCGAGGCTGTCATTGATGTGATGCAGAAAAATGCGAAAAGAATACGGATAACGACTTTGATCCATTCCATGGCGATTAGCAGACAATTAGAGTTGGTGCGTCGTCAACGTAGACTGACTTCCTGATCTACTCGTAAATTTGCGTGAGGGATGGACAATAGACGGCCTCGCCAGCGTGCAACTCGACGCGTGCTGCTTTTAACACTGTCGTTTAGAGGAGGGAATTGATCGAGTTCGTCCAGCTTATTACCCAAAATGACGGCATGAACGTGTAAGAGATTACCGAAAGCGTAAGGAATGATGCCGCTTTTTATGCACGTTGTGCGTTTGACTCACGTTAGTGCCGCATCTTGTCAAGGAGGGGACAATGCCGGCAGAGAGCTGGAAAAAATTAACATCACGTTTGCACAGAATAAAGACTTGGAAGAAGATTCGCTACATTGTCGCAACAGTAGAATATTTTTCATGGGGTTAAGAGAGGAAAGAGGATTTTTTAAACTGTGTGCGCTTCTCTCTGTATCTCTGTCTCTGTCTTTTTTGTCTCTCTGTCTCTATCTCTCTCTTTCCCCCTCTCTCTCTATCTCTCTCCCTCTCTCTCTCTCCCCCCTCTCTCTCTCTCCAACACGTGTACGCTCGCACGCTCCACGCTCGCATATGCCTTTCGCACAAAGCGGGGTCGGGGGTCAGGTCGCTTAGCGGACGCGCTGCTGCCAGCCTCTATGGGAGGGATCGCCTCGCGCTCCGACGCACTCTTGTTCCGCGTCACGACGAAGCGCTACTTCATAGTTTATGCATTTACTTTTTGCCCTCCCATATGTGTCTCACAACTCCCCCCCCCCCACTTGCACCTTGTTCTTCCAAACATTGCACCGCACCGCTGCACCGCACTGGACTGGCATCGACGGCGTCCTTGGCCGTGAGTGCTGCGCCTGCTGCGGCGGCTGCGCCCAGCGAAAGGAGAGAGAGAGAGGGGGGGGGGGAGATTGATCAGGTGCTGCGGGTATTACGTCGCGGAGCGTGGCGCGAGAGACTTTACGCGCGGAGTATTGGCAGACGTGCGTGTGTGGGGGTGGAGCTGCGGGTGGTGGGGGTGACACGCACACACAAACGCACGCACACACACACACACACACACACACACACACCTGTCCTGAGAAGCGTGAGGGGGGGGGCACCACTTCCTAGACGCACCTCGGCTACCCCCTGCTCGGTGGCCACACCCTCCTCACCGCCCTGGGATCCCGGCCCCGCGGCCTTGTGTCCCTGTACCGCTACGCGACTGTACCTCTTTCTCTCTACATGCGGCGGCTCGTCGCCGTCGTAGCCTGCAGCGGACTGTGCACATGTGCCGCCCCCCTGTGCGCACCATACGTCTCACTTCTCTCCCTTCCTCATTCTAGAGACACATGCAGTGCAGCGTGGCTACAATGAGATCGCGCTCATATTTGTTTCGTTTTCCATACTCCAGGATGCGCAGCCAGTTATGGTGGATTTCCTTTGCCCCCCCCCCCTTTCCCGGCCTCTATGTAGGCGGCATGAAAGATACGCTACAAAGCTCCTGTATGTAGGTACCTTTTGATATACTGCCCCTCTCCCTAAATACGACCATGGATGAGACCCTAGCAATTATTGCACTGTTAAAAGTCTGCAAAGGCTTTGTAATCTACAAATAAAATGATGTAGCATTTTACCTACACACCAAATCTGAAAGGACTTTTATTGTCCATAGAAAAACGCGTTTGTGTGCAAATCTCAACCCGATGCAAATTTCAATCCAGCAAGTGACAAATTAGCATCCTTTTTCTGGACAGTTAATTTTTTGTCCTTTATTAAAATGCATTAAGTCAATTGCTGGAATCAAATCTGCATCCGGTGGAGATGTGTACAAAAACGAGTCTTTTCATGGACAATAAAAGTCCTTTCAAATTTAGTGTGTTCAAACCCTGGAAAAAAACAAGGGTAGGAATCAACATCCTTCTATCTTTCATCGCGCGGTGTGGTGCCCGGCGCGCGGATTATTTTTATTAAGCGCTAATATGGATGCCGTTGGAAAATCCCAAAAGGGCCTTGGCCTTGGCAGTATATACTGAATTATATAATTCACAACAACTACTTCTACGTGAAATCTCAGTGAACTACACAAAAAAATCAAAATGAGGAAGTAACACTAAGCCCAGCACCTGGCGCCTGACGAGCGGTGGGTAGGCCACCTACCCAAACAGTGTGTATTTTTATTGCCTAACCACCATCCTACAGGCGCCTTTTCTGTGCTGTAGGAAGATTTCTTTAAAACAATGGCAGGACCTTTTTGTGACTATTTGAAAATTAATACAAGCGTATTTGTTTTTCTTTTTCTGTACGCAAAAGGATGGGCTGCAGTCACGGGGCCACATTGTTACCCCATTCTCTCCTCATGTCCAGGGAAAAAATTCGAAAGGTGCGGAGGTCCGCCTGGAAGCCCAAGTTTATAAACATATGAAGAGTAACTTAAAGGACAATTACCGCCGGCAGGCTAAGCAGGCCCGGCCCCTGCCGAACGGAGTTGCCGGCAGAGCGAAGTGAAGTTCGTAACTCCGTTTGGCAGAAGGACGGACCTGCTTGTTATTGTTAGTACGCTGGTCTGGTGGGTCGCTGCGTAATGTGGCCTGATCTACACCTACCTAGTCGTATACCAGCGACAGCAGCAAGTAAAGCCGTCCTTGTGTGTTCATGAAAATAAAGGCGTCGCCCGAGCGGCACATAGACTGCCAGCTCCCGGCGGCAGTTGGCACGACATCAGCAGGCGCGTAGCACCAAATCTTTACAATATACATAGAACAAGCGAACGGAACAAACGGCACGCATGTTGCAGTAGAGGTGGGGGGTATGGCATATGGATGGGGGCGGCCACACAGACCAAGGGCGACACTTTCTTATGGCCAGCAATATGCCTCTTGTCAGGCGAAATGGAATGGGCTGCGCTCCGGTTGGAGTGGTTAGAGGAGGGGGGGGGGGCATTCCTCCCCATCCTCCCACCCCACACAATCAAATAAAACAATTTTTAAGGATACCTACCTTAATAAATAAAACTATTCCCTAGCTGTCTTTTCAATTTTTTATTAGGTTGTGTGATTGTATCTATTCTGCTGCGCTAATCGCTAATCACAAAAAGAAGAGGCCGCCTAGCAGAGAGCCGCCTACCCTACCCCGCGCTGCTCTCCTATTGGTTGCGAGAACCGGCCGGTGGGGGTGGCGGCGCCGGCATATCCCGGGAGTCCCATGCAGCAGGAGCCACCCCCCTAGACCCCGTACCCCCACTTTCCCCCTCCTTTCCGTGTCAGACACGCGTACCCCCACACACACAAAACTCAGGGAAGCGAGATACTCGCGACATATAAATGTGAGACAGACAGCGGCTGCTGCACTGTGCCTCCATTTCTCCAGCGTGTATCACTGTACTCTCCCATAGCAACATGAAGGTCCTGGTAAGTACTGTGAAAGCGGAGTGTTTTGGGGGGTCCGTGCTACTTTCTCATCATCTTAATCAACACAATTTTCCTTTCGATCCCCGAATTTATTTCTAACTTGATAAAGTAGTACACTGGCATTGCCTACTGTTTACTTTACAAGGATTTAGCCAAGTGGCACATGCCCACAGGTGAGTGACTGTAAATTTGAAATCTTTTAGATTGGCAATTATTGGACTAGAAAGTTCAGTATGATATGAGGTAGGTCGGCTAAATCATGAATGACCATGGTCATTGCATAAACGGGTGGTTAAGTCCACTTGATAGGGTGGGTACACCCAAATTTTGGGTTTGCATAACTATGTGAAAGTGGCTCACCCACACGTTTATGTTCATGAACTAGCTAGTTGGCTAGCCAACAACAATACGACGGTTTTTACAGCTTTATTCAATCATTTCAGCTCTGATTCTGTCTCTATCTGGCAAGTGTTCCATTTCCAGTCTTGTTAAGTTTGCGACGCGCCGCACTGTGACAAATATCTTCTTAAATTTTCAACATGTTTTATATTTTCGATTTACAGAATATGTTGTACGTTAACGACAGCTATGAACTCCAAGTTGATACATTGTGCTTGTAATTTTACAACACATATCATAGAAAATTTGCCTGTAACCCTGACAAGAATTTCTCACATTCATCATAATGAATACTTGCCAATGGTTGTTTTTCGGTTTAACTCTTGATAAGTCTCTATACTTCCCTGTCCTCACATGACAACCTTTTTTTTTCTTCGCCAGTTTGCCGTTGCCGTGCTCGCCCTGGCTGCGCCCGCCGCCCTGGCCGCCCCCAGCGGCCTGTTAGTGCCCGCTCTACATCTCCCATATAAATCGGAAACGGCAAATTTGTGTCAAGCGATGCCACTTGGCAGGGGGGTACTTATGGACAAAATAAAGGATTTGGCCCGAAGAGGCATTCAAAATTTCCCTTAGGACAGATTTTATAAGCGTTCAAATT